AATAGGGAACTAGTCAGCTGAGTGAGTTCTGTCCTGAGATCGTAATGACACACAAGAGTGGCTCAAAGAATAGCAGTTATTATGCTGTAAGTGCAATTTGTTTAATGAATATTTAATAACTGTGAAAATTAAATATTTTAGATAGGTGTAAAAATGAAAACCAAAGATTAATCTCATTGAAGATAAACAATATTTCGTTATCAAAAATTTATCTTGATAGCTTTTTCATCTATCTGTCTGTCTGTCTGTCTGTATCTATCGTTCTATCATCTCTGTGTGTGTGTGTGTATGTGTGTGTGTGTGTGTGTGTGTGTGTGTGTGTGTTATAATACTTCTTTTTTAGACAAGGTTTCCTATATTCTGGAAGTGCTATGTATCAGGGGTGACCTTGAACTTCTCATCCTCTGCTTCTACCTACTGAGTGCTGGGATTGCAGCAGGTCAGCACCACGAAGAGTTTATGCTGAGGACTGAACCAAGGACTTGATGCATGCCAGGCAAGCACTGCACTAACTAAGCCACATCCTCACACCTTCCTGAACATTTTTATCAGCAGGAGGGAATACCACCAATGGATGTACTATATTTGAATTGCAATTCTGTTATTTGCTTAAAATGGTTTCGATTTTTTACTATTTTATTTGTTTTTAGTTTTTGTGTATGAGTGTATTGCTTGCATGCATGTAAGTGCACCCATGTCATGCAATGCCCATTGAAGTCAGAAGAGGGCATCAGATTCCCCTGGAACTGGAGTTAGGGACGGTTGTTAGTTGCCATGCGGGTGCTGGGAATTGAACTGGGTCCTCTGTAAGAGCAACAAGGTTTTCATATTTTTAATTTTTAGGTGGAAGTATGCATATGATACTGTGATTAAAGGAAAGGGATCAATGAATCAGATGTAGCTCTATCTCCATGGGACAGTGGGCAAAGACCTGAAGAAAGAATTGCAAAGGAAGAAAAATGAATGCCCATTAAACACGCAGGAGAAAAAACCCCAAAGATCTTAGGTTAACATAACCAGCACAGCACAAATGAGATATATGAAAGCACAGTTCTCTATTCTCAGGGCAGCAATCACAACTGACCAGTTTCCACCTAAAGAAACATGTCTATAAATAGCTAGATGATCACAGTTTGGTACAAACTTTCTCCTAAGAACTTTTAGTATTTAAGTGTACAAGAGAGTATCTTATTTTAGAATCTTTACTGGAATTCTTAACAGAAATATTCAAAGTATCAGATATTTATACTGGCAAAAAAATGGGAAGCCTGGGCTGGAGAGATGGCTCCACAGGTTAAGAGCACTGGCTACTCTTGCAGAAGACCCGGCACGCTTACACACATGCAGGCAATACACTCATACACATACAATTTTAAAAGACAAAATATTTTTTAAAAATATGAAAACCTATTTGTCTTTCTTCACTTAGGAGAAATAATGCCAGTCTTCAAAGTGTGACCTCCTCATGTGATGGACCAATATATTTTAATCCCCATAAAGGTCACATTAATTTCCAGTTAATTCTTGGGATGCGCCGCCTGAGACAGTAAAGAGGAAAACATCTGGTAATACGTGTATGGGATTCCTTGATTGTTCTTACTCTTCTTTTTAGGCTGTCTTTCCCCCTGTGTCACTGAGGATTGAAAATCATTGTATTCATATTATACAACAAATTTTCATCTTATCAAAAAATAATCAAGGAAGACTGGGATGTATTTGTGATAGAACACTTGCCTAGCTACCATGTTGAAAGGTTCAAACTGACCAAATTGTTTTGATTTACTAAAATGTAATAGAATGTGCTTTAAACACACTGATTTAGGTATAGAAGACCTTATAACCAAATTTTACAAAGCACTTCAATGGAGTCTTTATGGACGTATCTTTATATGGACATATCGTTATATCTTTATGGACAGACATAAATTTGTTTTCTTTTGAATGGTTTCCTCTTACCACCCCTTTTGTTTTTCATTTTGTTTTGTTTTGTTTTGAGACAGGGTTTTATTCTGTAACCCAGGTAAGCTTTAAATTTATTATGTAGCCTAGGCTGGCTCACCTTCCTCAACCTCTTAAGTGCTAGGTTTATGGGTGTGAGCAGCCCCCATGCCCAGCGAAAACCTTGGATCTTCTTCGTACTTGTTCTGTGAGGTCACATCCCCTTGCTTCCCATTAATGGGCACAGCATCTGTGCCTGTTCTGACTGTGGGTTTCCTCAGGGCACAGGCCACTCCTGGCTTCCCCCCTGCTGCCAACAGCAGAACTTCAGGGTCCTCATTCAGCTCCAGTGAATGGACACTTTGACTTCTGCCACAAACGATTTTAAGGATTTAGTCTGCAAGACTACTTGAACCTCCTACAGTTAGATAGGAATCTGAATCATACAGTCTTACACGTCAGTCTAATCATTTCGGGCAGTAAAGAGTCTGCATCCTTTGCTTGCTTGTTTGGGGTTTTGTTGCTATTGTTTTGCTTTTTTTGAGACAGGGCTTGCCTGTAGCCCCAACTGGCTTAAAACTCTCTATGTAGACCAGGCTGGCCTCCATCTCATGGAGATCTGTCTGTCTCTGTCTCCTGAGGACTAGGATTAAAGGCATGTGTGTGCCACCATGTTCGGCTTGGGGTCTGGATCCTTTTTTATACCTAGTCTATAGAATGTGGACAATGATGGGGCCTTGTTCTGAGAAATAATAAACTACAGATTTCTGATTCTTGGCCTTTCGCATCAAGTTCTCAGATCACTTGCTAATCATGCTTGTAACACTTGGGGGGAAAGTCAGCAGGGATTTAAAAGGAGCCCAGAAGAGCTTCATTCACTTACCAGTCAGCACTACAGCCACACTTTCTAAGTTAATGCATAAGCACAGAGCTTATTTTTCAGACTTATCCCTTTACCTTCTTTGTTATTTTCTTTCAGATATGATATATGCATTTCATAGCAGAATTTTAATCTACAAATATTGACAGAAACCACGGTGAAGGAGGGAGACTACAGGAAATGGGAGGAAAGAAGAAATAAGCAAGAGCCAAAGCCTTCACCTCAGGTCTTGGGCTCCACTATTCCTGTGCAGGCTGAAGTAGGAGGGAGGAGGAGATCAGGCTGTCGGAGAAGTGTACTGTGAGTGCTCCCAGGCTGCAGGAGTGCTCCCAAGCTGCACTGAGTGCTCCCGGGCTGCAGGAGGCGGGCTCCTGAATCACTGCCTCACTGCAGGGCATTTCTCACAGCCTCAGCATTTTCACTAATTCTATTCATGAAGTCTACTTTGAAGGTAAATGCAAAGATAAACATACTATCCCCAGATCGAGACATAATATGCAGGTCTCTCACCCAGAATCATTCAACCCCCAAAATTCTAACTTTGGATTGGAGTGACCATACCCAATATTATTTTATCTTTACCCTACAAAGTTAAGGTAGGATTTCTTTATGAGCGAAGAGCAATCCTCTGAGCGTGGTGGAGCTTAGAAAGGTTGGTGGCAACAAACGGAGGAGCCATTTGGATTCCATACTAGGTCATCAATGACACAGTGTTATTTTTCCTTCTCATCTCAAGCAGTTTAAGAGTTATGACATTTTACCATGACTTGTGGTTTTTTTTCTCCCTTCTAATGGGATTTCTTTGTAGAAGGTGGGCCCCTGAATCCCAGAGTTCAGGGGTCTTAATAGTACCTTCTGAGTGGAACTGAGGGGAGTGAGTGGGGGCAGAGGCAGTAGCTTTGTGGAAACACTGATGAATGACAAGTTTCTTTTACCTTCGGAGACGACAGAATGACATGCTAAAATAAACACCAAGTAGACATTTTTTAAATGCTTAAATAAAATGTCAAATAATGAATTAATTAGTGCACAACAATGCGAGATGGAAATAAGAGAAAAACCTTATCCCCTCAATTTTCTCTCCTTTTAACATTTCCACTGAATTAAATTGGGTTGTTTTGCTTCTATTCACACAAATGGCTAATGCCATCTCTACAATTCATTCCCGCGTAAACTTACCACACAATAAAGTAACAGTCATTTTTCACAGTACACAAATACAGGTTACCAAGGAAACCAGTTGGCAGACTGCTGCCCCGATTGTGTTTCAGATCAGAATGTTAACCACAGGACATTCCAGCTGTGACTCATAGCCAGACTGGCAAGCTTGCTGGCTTCCTCCTGGTAAAATCTGGTTTCTTCTGCCTTCAGAGAGCCCGAGGTCCAACTCCTGTGAAGCATCCTGAAGTTCTAACTGAGCTCTTTTAAAGAAAACTAGTAGACACTAAGGGCAAGAGCGAGATTCTCACCTTGAATATGTATAACTGCGGGGGCTCTTTAAAAAGAAAGACTTGACATTAGTCTCCCTTTTTTAAGTTGGCCATCAAACACATTTCAGATATGAGATCTGTGTATGGGGCTACCTTTGTTGGCTTAGCGCTACCTTTGTTGGCTGTTTCCAGTTATTCTCTCACAAACACAGTTCATTTATGATTCTTGTGGTCCAGGTCTCCCTCATCCCTACTCCACCAAAAGCATCTCAACCATTCTTTGGACAAACAAAGAAGGAAAACTTTTGCCCAAGCCACACTTAGTGCTGCATATCTGCCTCCTTTGTGTGAGTCTGATAATCTCACAGACATGGCTTTATGAGACTGTTAGTGACTTCAGACTCCAATCACAATGTGAAATGACCCTCAGTGCCTTCTAAGTATTAAAAACCCAAAAGTTTGATGATATAACATTGAAGACATACATAGTGTATCAAAGCTAACAGAGCTAGTCCAATTATTATGATATTATAAAGATTTTCAAACTTTTGTTTATTATTACTGTGTGTGTGCTTGTAACATGTGTGTGAGTGCAGGCATGTGAGTGCCACAGGATGCATGTGGAGGTCAGAGGGCAACTTTCAGTTTATTTTTTTATTTGTGTGTGTGTGTGTGTGTGTGTGTGTGTGTATGTGTGTGTGTGATGTGTGCATAGGGGCACGTATGCCAGGATGCATATATGGAGGTCAGGGGTCAACTTTGTGAAATCAGTTCTCTCTTTCCACCACAGTTTCTAGAGCTCAAACTCAGATGGCCAGGCTTGTAGCAGCAAATGACTTCACCTTCTGAGCCATTTGCTGGCCCTGGAGATTAAGGGCTTGGTGGGTACTTTGGGATTGCTGGAAGTCAGGTTCTAAGTGAGCAGAGACTCATCTATCTAAAGTTAGTCTGAACTATGCCACAGCTGGCTCATTTCATCAACTCCAAGAAGCCCAAGAACAGATATGGTTTTTCAAGTGCCTCTGTCTTGCTGAGTTGTTTAATGTTGCTCTTTTGTGGCTTTGAAAACTTGTAACTATGATGAAGAAAAATAGCTGTCTAACTGAGCAATGAAGAGATTTTTCCTAATCTTTTAGAATTAGGAGTGTAACAACTAAAATGGTCCTTTCTACTTTAGATTAGCATAAAATTATACTTTCTCCAAGTATTTTTCTTCTTTCCTTTCTTTTTTCCCTTCCTCCCTTCCTCCTTTCTTTCTCTTTCTTTCTTCTTTCTCTCTCTCTGCTTTTGAAACTAGAGGTCAAACCTAAGGCTTTGAGAATGTTGGGCAAGCACTCTACCACTGAGCTAATCCCCAATCAAAACTGTTGTTTTTCTTATTTTTTTGGAGCTTGTCTAGAAGTAAACTCATTTTCTTAATAGCAGAAGATTGGTTTTAAAGTAACTAAAGCTAATTAAAACTTCCTTGTATGATGCCATTACTGGAGGAGTAAAGTTGCGGAAAAATTCCAAGGAAAACTATATGTTTCAGAGTTAAACAGATAATTGAATTTTTTTTTTTCTGAAACAGGGTCTCACTGTTTAGGCCTGGCTGGGCAGGAACTCTCTATGTAGACCAGGCTGACTGGAACTCACAGACATCCGTCTGCCTCTTCCTCTCAAGTGCTAGGATTAAAGACATACATACGCTACATGCCTGGCTGTAACTGAAATGACTTCTGTGCTGTGAGGAAGAATCTTTTATTATTATTATTATCATTATTATTATTATTATTATTATTATGCTTTGAGTAGGGAATTCCTATCTTTGCACAAAGCAAAAGCTCTAGTGAGTGTAAAGAAGTTGCTTGAATTTGTGAGAACTACATGTGATGAGTTCTTTGATGGCCTTTCGAAGTTAGTGTCATTGATGGAAGCAGGAAAGCCGTCTCCTTGTAAGAACATCTCTGATCAGTGTGGTCAGAGTCAGGCTCCAAGTTCACAATCCGGCTGTAGTAACTCTGCTTAGGGTAAAATCTTATGGGAACAACTTAACTTCTCTAATCGAAACTTTATAAACTTGGTTATCATAATGGTACTAATAACTTTGTGACAAATGATACAAACGGCATGGTAACAGGTTAAGTAAGAGGATGGACAGAGTATGCTCAAAATGTTATTCCAACTTTTGTTCAGAGATAAAGGAAACAAAATTATTTTTCTCTAAAGAAGCCACTCAAAAGTAGCTTTGAGAAAAGAAATATTAGTCTAGACAGCTGAGCATGACTCATGTTAATCAGTTCACAGAATGATCGCTGGCCACGAAGATGGGGAAGAAATGAATCAAGCCTGAGAACTAGCCCATACTTGCATCGTGTTGCCATGACAACCTCATTTTGTGTGGGGATGGAAGCCATCCTTGACGTTAGGGATGCAAAGCCAGATGTTAATTATCCTGAGTGTGAGGAAGGCAAGAGGGGGTGTGTGTGTGTGTGTGTGTGTGTGTGTGTGTGTATGCATGCGTGTGCTGAAGGCACATTATGGATCATGCCAGAAGACGACACACAGAGAGAGCAGATGTCAGAAGCCACCGGAGTGGACAGTGCTTGTCCTTGTTCAATGACCTCTCCACTTGGCTGTCCTGCCCTCCCTGCAGCTCCCAGCACTTAAGCACTGGAGCTTGAGAGGGTAGGAGCTGCTGAATTCTTGGAACATCTGTCCATCTCTCTCTCTCTCTTAAAAAAAAGACTCAATTGCATCAGGACCTATGGCACTGACTCAGTATTGTTTTTTTCCAGTACTGAGGGTGAACCCTAGGACGCATGCTAGGAGGGTAGTCCACATTGCGGTCCATCCTGAGTGTCACAGTAATTATTAAGAGTGCTGCCGAAGTTTATACACATATCTTAGTAAATGTGAAGCCTTTACATTTTACTTTAAATTTTAAGGGTTTTGAAATGTTTCTGTAATTCTGCCAATGGACAATCACAGAGTAGGGTACAAGGCTCTCATTTTGAATGGGGAAGCCCAGAGAGGACTACTTAATCAACCACAGAAGGTAAATTAGGCAAATGTTGAAGAAGGCTGACAAAGCAGGACCCTGCAACACAGAGCACACCCAAGAGAGCTCTACCGTGGCTCTTTGGGCTAGGCGCATCTCCCCAGCTAACCATGAGGCCCCTCACATGCACTGGCCTCCAGGGGCTCACACAGTCTCCTCACCACAGGAAAAGCCACGCTGCTATGTGCTGTCAGGGTGGGGCAGGAAATGTGAAATGCCCGTCTAAAGTTAACAATTACTCATGATGCTGGGCTTTGCGCGAGCGACCATCAGAAGGCCACATTCCAAGTTACTTTGTGTCACTCTGAATTAGAGGTTTGTCTCAAAGCCAGATGGGTCTGTTGTCTCTGTGGGCTGGCTAGCCGCTCTTCACTCTTGCTAATTCATTTACTGCTTCATTCCTGATTTCTACACATTGCTCACATTAGAAGTCACAAGAGCTGATTTCAGGTCTTTCATGTTTAAAAAAAATTCTCTTGAATCAGTGTATATGGGTGTGGGCAAATGTTTAACTACAATGATGTTTATCTCAGAATTGCTTAGAATAGTGAAAATTGAGAAGATTCTAGATGATCACAGCAGGCTGCATGGCGATGACAGAGGCAGAATGTGGAAAACAACACAAGGCATGAATACACAGATCTGAACCCACCAGCCATTGCTCTGCAGAAAAGGTCATCATAACATAGCATGCACACAGCTTATCCCAGCACCGGGAGGCAGAGCC